TGGTCATTAATATCCCTCAATATTAATAGTATTAACTCACCTATAAAAATATACAGACTAACAGAATGGATATAAAGACAGAAACCATCCTTCTGCTTCATACAAGAAACATACCACAACTTCCTAGACAGACACTACCTCAGAGTTAAGGGTTGGGAAAAGACTTTCCAATCAAACGGACACAAGAAACAAGCAGGTGTAGCAATCCTAATATCTAACAAATTAGATTTGAAACTAAAATCAAAAGAGATGAAGAAGGTCATTTCTTGTTCAACATACTGTGTTGACTTAATCTATCAAGATGAAGTCTCAATTATGAACATTTATGTCCCAAATACAAAGGCACCCACATTCATAAAAGAAACATTACTATAGCTCAAATCACACCTTAACCTCACACACTTATAGTGGGAGACTTCAATACCCCACTCTCAACACTGAACAGGACCACCAGACAGAAACTTAACAAAGAAACAAAGGAATTAACAGAAGTTATGAGCCAATTGGGTTTAACAAACATCTATAGAACATTCCATCCAAACACAAAAGAATATAACTTCTTCTCAGTGCCACATGGAACCTTCTCTAAAATTGACCACATACTCAGCAATATAACAAACCTCAATAGGTACAAAAAATTAGAATAACCCCCTGTATCTTATCAGACCACCATGCTTTAAAGTTAGAATTCAACAACACAACTTGCAGAAAACCTACAAACTCGTGGAAATTGAACAATGCACAATTGCACCATTCCTGGGTCAAGGAATAAATAAAGAAAGAAATTAAAGATTTCCTAGAATTCAGTGAGAATGAAGACACAACATACCCAAGTTTATGGGACACTTTGAAAGCAGTACTAAAAGGAAAGTTCATAGTACTAAGTGCCCACATGAAGAAACTAGAGAATAGTCACATTAGAGAATTAACATAACAAATAAAAGCTCTAGAACAAAAACAAGCAAACTCTCTCTGGAGTAATAGAAACCAGGAAATAATCAAATTGAGGGCTGAAATCAATAAAGTAGGAACTAGGAAAACAATACGAAGAATCAATGTAACAAAGAGTTGGTTCTTTGAGAATATCAACAAGATAGACAAACCTTTGCCCAAACTAATCAAAAGGTAGAGAGAGAACATGCAAATTAATAAAATCAGAAATGAAAAAGGGGGGCATAACAACAGACACTGAGGAAATCCAGAGAATCTTCAGGTCATACTTTGAAAACCTGTACTCCACAAAATTTGAAAATTTAACGGAAATGAACAATTTTTTTTTTTTTGGATAGATATCACTAACCAAATTTAAATCAAGAAAAGATAAGCAACCTAGATTCCCCTGAACTGAAGAACTGATGGAGAAAATGTGATACATCTACACAATGGAATACTACTCATTGGGAAAAACAAACAAACAAAAACAAAACAAAACAATGGAATCTGGAAATTTACAGGCAAATGGATGGAACTGGAAGGAACCATCCTGAGTGAGGTAACCCAGTCACAAAACATGGTATGTAGTCATTCATATATGGATTTTAGACATAGAGCAAAGAATTACCAGTCTACAATCCTCACCACCTGAGAAGTTAGGAAGCAAGGAGGACCCTAAGAGAGATATACATGGTCCCCTGGAGAAAGGGACAAGATCTCCTGAGCAAATTGGGAGCATCAGGGAGGGGAGAGGGAGTTAGAAGAAAGAGGAATGTTATGAGCAGTTTTCCCACCAGCCTGGTCCCACAGCTGCGTCAACCCCAAACAACAACACAGAGATTAGATATAAAACTATTGGCCTGTTAGTAGCGTTTCTTATTGACTAGCTCTGTTTTAAATATTAACCAATTTCTATCAATCTAAGTATTTCCACGTGGTCTTATCTTACCGGAGAGAGGGTCCGGACCTTCTCCTCAAGTCCCTACATCTTGACTTTTCTCCTACATCTCCCAGAATCCTCCTTGTCTCCTAGTCCCACCTATCTTGCTTTCCTATTGTCCAACAAGGCTTTATTCATTAACCAATAAGAGAAACATATTTACAGAATGACATCTCCCATCAGAGGAGGGGAGGGGAGAGGACACGAGGGAGCAGGAAGATTGAGTCAGGGGAAGAATAGAGAAGAACAAGAAAAAGATACCACAATAGAGGGAACCATTACAAGTTTAAAGATAAATCTGACACTAGCTAGGGAAATGTCCCGAGATCTACAAGGATGACCCCAACCAGCAATCTAAGCAATATTGGAGAAGCTACCTTAAATACCCTCCCCTGATAGTGAGATTGATGATTACCTTATATGCCATCCTAGAGCCCTCATCTAGTAACTGATGGAAGCAGAAGCAGACAACAACAGCTAAACACGGAGCAGAACTCCTGGAATCCAGTTGCAGAGAGGGAGGAATGATGAGCAAAGGGGTCAAGACCAGGCTGGAGAAACCCACAGAAACAGCTGACCTGAACAAGTGGGAGTTCATGGACCCCAGACTGATAGCTGGGAAACCAGCATAGGACCGACCCAGACCCCCTGAATGTGGGTCTCAGTTAGGAAGTCTGGGAAATCTATGAGGTGTCTTGTAGTAGATCAGTATTTATCCCTAGTATATGAATGGACTTTGGGAGCCCATCCCACATAGAGGGATACTCTCTTAGCCAAGACACATGGGGAGGGCCTAAACCCTGCTCCAAGTGATATGGCAGACTTTGAAGACCCCCCCACTGAAGGCCTCACCCTCCCCTGAGGTGCAGAAAGGAGATGGGATATGGGTTTGAGGGGTTATGGGAGAAGTGGGGGGAGAGAAAACTGGGTAAAACAAGCTTGATTCAAATTTAAATAAGGGTGGGGGAGAAGAGCATCATTGTGGGTTTCCAAGGCTTCATGACCCAGATACTTCCATTTACCATAAGGTCACTGAAAAACCCTAGTCAACTGTGGAGATATGAGCGTGTGTGTGTGTGTGTGTGTGTGTGTGTGTGTGTGTGTGTGTGTGTATTCATGCATGTACAGGTGAACATATACATACAGGTGTGCATTCATATGTATCTGTATGAGTGTAGAGGCCAGAAGCAAACCTCAGGGCTTGCTGTTCAGACATCATCCACCTTGTATTTTTGTTTCACAGACACTGACACTTAGTTTCCTATTAGCCTAGGCTGGCTGGCCAGCAAGCCCCAGGGGGCCACCTGTCTCAAGCTCACAGTGCCAGGATTGCAAGTGTGTATCACCTCTCCTAGCATTTTTCTGTGGGTACTGGGGATGGAATTCTCATTTTCTCCTGGTAAGAGCTTTATCTCCTGAGCCATCTCCCAGGTCCCTTGTGTGGTTTTTATATGCAGATGCAGGCTTGCAAACTAAATCCAGAGTTCTGGGTAGAAGTGTAAAATTGTCAATCAAAGCTGCCTCCAAATTCCCTCTTGGCTTCTTTTTAGATCCACACAGTATCCTGGGAACTTTGGACATCATACCCCTCCTTTGGCTGGAAAGATCTCGGCTTGTCACCGGCCTGAGGTAGTTGTGGGAATCAAGAGTCCCTAGGATATTTCCTCTGAATCCTGGGAGCTAAATAGAGCCTTCAGCCCAAGCACCTGCAGCCTCTAAGAATGAAGGAGGCAGTAACTCAAGGCAGACCTGCTGGTAGACAATGTTCCCATCCACATTGCATTGTGGTGTGAGGAGTTGAATGGTGTTCCAAAAGTTCATAGGCTGAATCTCAAGCCCCTGTAGTTGAAGACAATGTGGATTTGGAGATCCGATGTTTAAAGAACTAAAATCAAGGCCAGAGGGGTGGGTTCTAATTAAGGCTGCCTGGTGTCATCATGAGGATAGGATACGGGCATGCACAGTGCTGAGTGAGGACAGTAGGAGGACGTGGTGTCTATCTGCTGACCATTTCAGAAGTCTTTGGTTGAAGCTCCCAGGTCCCTGTGCAGAGTTACATCAGCTGCATCAAGTCAGCATGCCAGACTGTGACGGACAGGTTCCCTTGCTGCTCGTGTTGGGGTCCCATGGGGCTAATCTGCTCCCACTGCTCCATTTCCCATGCAGTAGCTCTGGTGTCTCTCAAACCCCACTTGGCATTTATTCTTCAGTGGCTCTCAGGCTCTTCAGGATGAGCCCCAAACCACTAAATGGGGGAATGAGGCCCAGAGGGACCCAACCCCATCCAGGAAGTTTCCCCAGCTATTTCCCAGGGTGCTTCCTATTGCGCCCTCATCTACTGCCTTGACTGTAGTGACTCCCTTTGGCCCTCCTACTCATGCCTCCTGGCTCTCAGTAGCTTATCCAATCCACACAACACTGTGAGGCCCACAAGGCTGGAACCACAGCCTGCCCACCTGGGTCCTTTGGTACAGTAGCTTTGGGAGAACTGCACATGGCTGTAGGGATCACACCAGAGCCATGGAACAATCAATGATCCTGATCTTCCCTATTGGCTTTCTAAAGCAGTTCTCATGCGTGAAAGGGCTAAGAGCTCCAAGGAGTTGCTTGATGGTCCAGCCTGGATCCTGCCTCACAGTTTGAACACAGAGATGCTCTGGGTCAGCTATCAGTGGTTGCTGCTCAGGACCGCTCTTTCCTGAAGGGTCTGCTTCCCTGGGAGCCCTGCAGAAGAACTTGTACCTCTTTGCAGCATCATTTCATCTGCTTCTATGACCTGACCTTGGGTGTGTCTGAACAGAGAAAGGGGACCTCACATTTTCAGCACCCCTGCACAGGACTAGGACATTCCTTCACTATAATCTCACACTCCCTGGTCCTCACTGTGCCCTGTCATCCACAAACTGGGATACAAACGGCAGTGACTTCAGAGATGCTAACTGCAAATAGTTCAACTCAACTTACCATGACAGGACATTGCCCAGAAACTGACACATGTCACAGTCGGGACTGGAACAGAATAAGGGTTTTCTCCAGCACCTAAGATCCACTCCTCCAACCACATTCAACTCCCATGCCCCAGGCTAAATGGGGCCCCTAGAAAAGGCAGGAGGAGACCTTGACTCACCATGCTCGTCCAGCAGGATGTTGTCTGGCTTGATGTCTCTGCAAGAGAACACAGGCAGAGGTGTGAGTCCTAAGCCAGCATGGGGGCCACCACAGGCTCAGGCTACAGGACAGAGGGTACTCTAGGATGTTGTCTCTTCTGTTACCTCCTCTCAGAGGGCTGAAGCAAGTGTGACAACAGGATCCCCAGGGGTCAGAACTTCTTTCTGGACCCTGAGCCTATTGTTTGACTATTTTGTTCTGAGACATTCTTAATGTTGGGCCTTTCAATGCTGGCTGAAATGTTCAGAAGCAACTGTCACTCTGTATGTTGAAATCCTTGTTGTTTTTTGTCATAATAGAGATGGTAGGTTGAGTGAGCCATGTGTCAGTAGGCAGAGGAACTTCTCCACTCTGCTACTCTTCAACCTTCATGTCTGGGGACCCCGCTGTGTCACTTTGTGGGTACAAGAAGAGACTCTGGATAAAACACTGTAAAAACAACCCAAAGGGGACATGGCTCAGTCAGTGAGGTGTCTGATGTACAAGCATGAAGAGCTGAGGTAGCACCCTCAGCACCCATGTAAAAGTCAGGGGCACTGCACTGTGGTGGACACAGGCAGGTCCTGGAGCTCACTGGTCAGTTTGAATCTATGAACTCCAGGTTCTGGGAGAGACCGTGCAGAAAAATGTAGTGTTCAGGGGAGACACTTGACACCAACCTCTCTCTCTCTCTCTCTCTCTCTCTCTCTCTCTCTGTCATACACACACACACACACACACACACACACACACACACACACACAATTCACCATCTGGCCCTTATGGAGTGGGTCTGTTGAACTCTCAGGAACTGAACCACGCAGACACAATTTGGATAGGAGTAGGTTTCTAGAAAGTTCTATTTGAGGCGGTCTGGCTTGATCAAAACACATTAGTCTGGAAGGAATCCACAGCTTTTCATTTTCTGTGGAAACAAAAATAGAAATCCTTTTCCCCAGTAACTTGTCCTTGAACTTAAATTTTGGAGTCAAAGCATTTTTTTTAATTTAATTTATTATTTTACATGTCGATCCCAGTTCCCTCAAGCCAGAGCACCTGAAATAGAGTACCAGGTGATCCTACATTCAAAACAGCTGGACAAAGCAGCCATGCAGACTACAGCCAGGATTTCTGCATCTTCTTAGAATTCCCCATGACAGAACCCCTTACCAGCAGGAAGTAGTTTGGAAAGAACGACGCCCAAATTCCCAAATATTATCTATAAATGTTTGTTTTCATTTAAAAAAAGAAAAGAAAAAGAAAGTTCTATTTGATATTCGGTATTGCCATGCTAGCAAAGAGCCTCTACTAACCAAGGAGCACATTGTAAAGTGAGGGCTCTGCTCTTTGATCCACGCATCTGGGAATCCAGCATGGTACCAGTCAATCTTGTGCATACATGGAACTTGAGGGGCATAGGAAGGAAGGGTAAGCATGTGACAGCAAGCTTCAGTCCCCCAACTTGCTGCAGCAGTAAAACTATAGATTTCAGAGACATACCCCACACATTTAGAGTTAACGTCACAGCGGTGGTGTGGTAACTAATGACAGCTTTCTCAGAGATAAAGAGTAACTGCCCCCGAGTTGATCAAATATTAACTCTACCTGAAGAGATGTGCAGGGTTATTGCTGATGCTAGGCAATTTCTTCCAGGGGAGGAGAGAAATGCACGGCATTTATATTTCATTTCTGATTCTCATTATGACTTTTCAAGCCCATGAATTTTGATGCGCATTAGGTACACAGGCCCTGCCACCAGGCTCACAGGACACCCATGTGACCAAAGAGATAAGGGAGCCCCCAGGGAAGGATGAACTTGAAAACAAAGAAAATTAAAACAATAGACAGGGGTTCCAGTGTCAATGTGTGAAAACTAGGTCAGCAAATGCTAGCTCCCTACCGGAGTGGCTCAAGATCTCTCAAGGGGGACATAAATGTGTCAGGAGTGTGGTACAGCCATCTGTGAGAGTGTCACAATGAAACCCACCCCTTTCTTCAATGTGTATTCACAAATACTGCAATCAGACTACCTGTACATTATCAAGCCATTTACAAATTGAGCATGGAAGGGAAGGGGCTCCCAATACCATGCCCCAGGCTGAGGATCGATTGGAAGTTGGTGGCTGCGGAGGAGAGAAGAGTCACTTTTCTTTGTGGGAAGTGGCCACTGGTATGTTGCCCATGCCCTAGTAGATGGCCTCACATTCATGCTCGTATGGTATGGGCAACACTAATTGGGTTCCATGCAGTATAAAAAATAAGAAGAGGATCTTGGCCCGTAACTGGCTGAAGCTCCCTACTCCACCAGAGGCCATGCTGTCTACCTGAACTGCAGGTAGGCAATCTGCCGGTGGGCCTCCTTGACTCGCTCAGTGCCCACCCAGCCTACCTCTGACCTCATCTTCCCTCCTGGTCACCAGATCCCAGCTCACAGCTCCAGTAGAAGCATTCTGCTCAATGTAAGGCCATACTGGCTGCCAGAGCTCCAGATACTCACACATTCTACCCCAGTTGACCCTCCCCTCCTTGCCATGGTGGAGGCCCCTTTTCAACTAGAGGCAACATTAGCCACCAGGGCTCTTGGCAGGTAGCCCATCCACAGACTTTCTCCCTTCTCTCGGTGACTGTCCAACCTCCCACCAATTTCCTGTCTCCTCCTCCCCACCTTGTCGCAGCCCCCCACTTAGGTGGAAGCTTGGCCACAAGCCTTGCCATCTGCCAGAACTCCAAGTAAGCTGCATGCCTGGGTACCCCCTCACTCCCTTGGTTCCCCCACACCTATCCCCAATCTTCCCACCCGTCCCCATTGCTGTGTCCCAAATTCCTGCTCAACCAGAGACCACCCCAGCCATCAGAAATCCAACCCCCAACATGGGTGGGTGGTGTATCTCTGCTCAACCACAGGTCACTCTGGCCAGAAGGCCAGAGAGCAAACAGAAACCAAGGAACAAAACACCTACCAACAAAGGAAAACTCAGAAAGTGGTACCTATATCTCTAATCACCTCAAACCCAGATGCTTAGTTGCCAGCATAAAAACATAATCAAGGCAATATGTCACTACCAGGGCCCAGCTATCCTACTACAGTGAGTCCTAAATATTCTAACACAGCTGAAGCACAAGAAAAAGACCTTAAAACCAACTTTGTGAAGATGATAGAGGAAAAAGAAAGCCAAGAAAAAAAAAAAACAGTTTAAGGAAATTAATAAAACAGTTCAAGACCTGAAAATGGAAATAGAAACAATAAAGAAAGCACAAACTGAGGGGACTCTGTAAACGAAGAATGTAAGTAAGTGAACAGGAATCTAAGGTGTTGAAGATACAATAGAAGAAATAGTTACATTGGTCAAAGAAAATGTTAAATCTAAAAAAATCCCTGACACAAAACATCCAAGAAATCTAGGACACTATGAAAAGATCAAACCTAAGAACAAGAATAGAAGAAGGAGAAGAATTCCAGATCAAAGGCCCAGAAAATGTTTTCAACAAAATCATAGAAGAAAAATTTCCTAACCTAAAGAAGGGCATGTTTATAATGACACAAGAAACTTACAGAATATCAACTAGATTGGACCAGTCACATAACTTGTCACATAACAATCAAAAGTCCAAACATACAGAACAAAGGAAAACAACTAAAAGCTGCAAGGGAAAAGGACAATTAACACATAGAGGCAGACCTATTAGAATTACAACCAAGTTCTCAATGGAGGCTTTAAAAGCCAGAAGGGCCTGAACAGGTGTCCCTTCAGACTCTCAGAGACCACAGATGCCAGCCCAGACCACCATACCCAGCAAAACTTTTAATCACCATGAATGGAGGAAACAAGATATTCCATAATAAAATCATATTTAAACAACATCTATCCATAAGTATAGCCCTATAAAAGGTACTAGGTTAACTATACTCATAAAAACAGAAAATAAGTAATATTTATACCAGCAAAACCAAAAGAAGGGAAGAAAACACACACACATACACACACACACACACACACACACACACCCCACCAACACCACCACAACAACAACGACAACAGCAACAGCACCTCTACCAACAAAATAACAGGAATTAACAATCATTGGTCATTGACATCTCTCAACACCAATAAAAGGACACAGACTAACAGAAAAGGATGCAAAAACAGGACCCAACTTTCTGCTGCATATAAGAAACACATCTCAACATCACAGCTTGACATTACCTTAGAGTAAAAATTTTTTCCAAGGAAATGGACCAGGAAACAACTTGGTGTAGCTATTCTAATAACTAACAAAGTTAAATTTAAATCAAAACTAATTAAAGAGATAGCAAAAGACACTTTATACTCATTAAAGGAAAAATCCACCAAATGATATTTCAGTACTTAACATTTATACCCCTCCCAAACTAGATCAACCATGTTTGTAAAAGAAATATTATGAAAGCTTAAATCACCCATCAACCCTCACACATGGTAGTGGGAGACTTCAATAGTCCACTCTCACCAATGAACAGATCATCCAGACAAAAACTAAACAGAAAAATATAACAGCTAACAGATATTATAAGCCAAATGGACCTAACAGACAACCGCAGAACATGTCACCCAAACAAACACAAAAGAATATACCTTCTCAGCACCTCAAGGAACTTTCTCCAAAACTGACCACATATGTGGTCACAAAGCAAGTCTCATCAGATACAAGAAAATTGTAATAACACCTTGAATCCTACCAGACTTTTAGTAACCCTCAAATTATTACACAAAACAAAAACAGGAGGAACATTGCCAAATTCATTTTATGAGGCCACAGTCACCCTGATACCCAAACCAAATTAAAATTTTACAAAAAAGAAAAGTATAGACCAATTTCCTTATGGACACTGATATAAAAATACTCAATAAAATAACCACAAGTAAATCTAAGGACATATTAATAAGATCACCTAGCATGATCAAGCAGGCTTCAATCCAGAGATACAGGGATGGTCCAAAATATGAAAATCAGTCAAAGTAATCCACCACATAAACAAA